GGACGGATAGGCTAGCTGCTTTAGGGTCATGCAGCATATGCTGTTCCTGTGAGCCATGGCATCATCGCCTGCTTTGCTTCTGCCATGGTGTCATGGCCTCTGCCTTGCTTGTACTGTGCCAGCCATCCTGCAAGAGTAATGTGCGAGCCATCCTGCTGTAGTAGTCTGGGAACCGTATTGCTGGATTACTGTGCGAATTATGGCTGACGTGCTTCTGGTCATATATATGTTATAAGCTCATCGCCTGCTGCAGGAGACACTCCCGGTTGGGATTAACTTTGTGTCAAGAGGCCATTGAATTCATTTCCCTCCGAACGGGGCAAAAATTGTCGCTGGCCCCAAAATGAGTGTTTGTGTCATTTATGGCAATTTTTTTTAATGCACCCTCCCTGGGCCAGTAACGCCGGCTCCGCTGTGCAAACGTGGCGGCGCCCGCTGTGCAAAAGTGGGGGGAAGTGTTTTACAGGGTGCAAAAATGACACCAAGAGTCATTTTGGGGTCTGCGGCACTTCTAGGCTCTAGCCCCATTGGGGGGGGAGATGAATACAAAGGTTTCGTAACGGGGAGGTTTCATAACTTTTCCCTACTTTTTTGGACATTTTTGTTTTTTGTTTTTGTTTTTGTTTTGATGGGCATTTTTGTTTTTCACAAAGTAGGCTACCGACAGAAATTGTTTCAAAGCCAAGTTGATCATTCTATTTGCAATATTGGATTTTATTTTGGTGAAATATCTATAACTTGTTTGTGAACCGGATTTATTTAAGTGAGTTTGAGAATTGGTTATCCTCGAAATTGATAACCCGTGCAGCGAAATTCATGATTCCTATTTGTGAAAAGAGGTTCGTAATGTGTGAATCTTTTGCTAGCTCAAAGAAGGAAAGGAGTATCAGTAATTTTTATTTTTCTTTAGGGGTAACTTCAGTAGAGTCACAAAAACGAGTTATAATTGCAATATGGGCCCAGATACAATTTGCGAATTGCAATTGCACTTCAGGCACACTACCTGGCCAGAAAGCTCGATTGTGTACATTGCGCGAACTGCAATTGCAAACTGTATTTTGGCCCATACAGTCCATACTCAAATTATAACTCATTTTTGTGACTCCCGCGTAGTTTCCCCTATAATTCTTTATTAGCAGTGATCATGACTACTTTGTGGGAGACGCCAGGAAAATATACTGTTCCGCCAAATGTTTTTTGTTGCTTTTTTTGCTTCTTAGTGCCCTGCCAGCAGGATCCAAGCCATTGTTGAACTGACATTTCGTTTAAACTGACATTTTTTTCTAAATTCACGAAAGTGGACTTAGTCAAAATTTCATTGCTCATCGGGTGAGAAAGTGGTTATCTCACTTTGTCCATCTGATGTACCTCAACGTAAAGTACCGTTAGCATACATCCGATGGTTAGATCATCGGGAGTCACCACGACACCCGATGATCTGATCATCCGACGTCATTGGGACAAAAAAGCACTAAAAAATGTTGTTTTTTGGTACGCTCAATTTCGTGAATTTAGAAAAAAATGTCAGTTTTAACGAAATGTCAGTTGTTGTACCATTTTTTTGGACGGAGAGCTTGTGCCTGATTTATTGTGTCATCATGCTTTCTTCTTCCCCCACCTTCATCTTTCTCCTATTCAGTGGACAAAGCCATGTGGAAAGGCATGATGATCAGTCTGTTCTCTTGGTTTTCTGGCATTGCGCCCCGTTCTTATGCACTGCGCCTGCTTCCCTCATGTCATCAGGCTTAGACCTGACGGGTAGCACTCGCCACTCTTTAGGTCATTTTCCTCAAGCTTGGAAACTCCCTCTCTGAGAGCATACTCACACTACAGTCTTCCCCCAAATACAACGTATGGTCATTATATCACAATTTAGACTGAAAGATGCACCAATTTCAGTTATAATGACCGTAAGTTGTATTTTGGGGAAGACTGTAGTACTTTTCAGAAATGTCTACTTCCAAACGGACCTTGACTTTGAAACAGAGCGTTGCCGCCGTTGCATAAAGTCTCTGAGGATCCCAAACAGCTCGGTGGTCGCTGGCTAGGGCGAGCGGCCGTACTTTTTTATGGTTTCCTGATGATCGAACATTGCTTATACAATTTTCAATGGTTTGGAGCAAGCACTTAAAAACCAAGTACGAATAAGCGTGTAGTTGTTCGGGCAAACGACAGTCGACTTTGAAACTGCAATTTGGGTCGAAAAGTATCTGTTGGCCTTGTTTTTTTTTTTTTTTTTTCCATCTGACACCACGGCCAACCACTGTAAATATGACAGAGATAATGACACCTGCCCTAACACCACCCCCGTTGGTACTTTCATTGTTTTTTTCAAACTCGGCGCCTGGTTTCTTTGTCGGAGTGTGTTTCTTTTGCTTATTCTATACTCAAAAGTGACATGAACACACTTACCTCTCTTTTTTTACTTCTTATGTTTCTCTCCGTATGCCACTTTCTCTGGGAAGACCGTTGTTGGGTCCGAATCTGTTTTAACCACAGGGGTCAGATATGCAAGGAAAATGAGCGATAGCGAACTCCATAAACCAAGCAGCATCATACACATGAAACCAGATAGTCGTGACCTCGAACCAAAAGCAGAGTTGCAACACGAGTCTCACCAAATAAGAGCACAACAAAAGCTCGTAAGTGACAATGTTAGAATAATCTCATCATCATCAACGAAGAACCAATGTCGACATCCTATCTGGCGCTCTGCGCCCCGACTACAAATGGCAGATCCTATCTAGCCTATCTACAATGTCGCTGGTGACGTCAACAACTCCCCGAAGCACGAGCAGATCTCGGCCAATGTCGTTCGCCTCAAGCGCCAGGTATGTCTCTCGCATCACTCACAACCTCGATCCCTCACTCACAGATGCCACGTGCACCCAAGGACCACCATGCGCCCCATCGAGCATAGTGCAGCGCAACTCGGCTATGGCTGCCTGCTCATGCAGCTCACCCGTGAGCGCGTGAGCGCTGGACAACGTTAGCAGAGCAGCGCTTGCGCAGCATGCAGCCAGTGCCCGAATGCCGAATGCGGAGGCAGGCCCTTTCCTAAATGGAAGTGCCTGTCTGCTGTGTGCGGCCTGGCTGCGTTGGGTCCCGGTCCGGAAGCTTCCGGTAGGCCCCAAGTGGCTGAGCCTCAGTCCAAACAAACAGGCCCAGGGCCTGTGGCGGTTACCCGGGCCCAACTGCCCACAGCCTTTGTTTCGGTCTGTGTTGCACATCTGGCCCAGGGCCTGCCTCAGCTACATACGATAAAGGCAGCCTGGGCCTGGGCGCTTTCAACCAACTGGTGCTGCGCAACTGCCTGAATTTTCCCTAATTGCGTGGTAGTCCAAAATAGGCCTTTGGTCGTCTGTCGAGCCTGCCTTCACTTAGGGCGGCCGACGCTGTTGCAAAAAGGGCCCAGTAGGGCTTACCGAGGCCTTGCGCCTCGCATTCCCCCCTCCATAGTTCGCTAGTCCTCTGAGAAGTTCATTCAATCTGGCGCTTTCCTTTCTGCAGTGACTTCTCGTAGTGGGCGACAGCTTATAGAGCGGTCTGTAACAGTTCTTCCCGTGTAAACCATCTATCCTCCTTTGGATCAGTATGATGTCTGAACCGAACGCGATACTGCAGCTTCGGCTTCGGAGGACGTCCCCTGCCTGTTGGTCTTGGAACAGGCATTTCCCTGTGGTCCACGATGTCCTCGATGTCGACCTCTCCATCCATGGTTGGGGGCAGCATTGAGCGACGAGTAGGAAACTGATCAGTGTCCTTGGAAGACGCGAGCTTAGAGGCGTGAAAGACATGGTAGGTGCGTAG